AGAATAATTATTTTGCCAACCTAGCTACCGCTGCTTGGGGAGGTGGATTACCTATGCTGATGGAAAAGCCCCTTCCCCATTGCTGTAGGAAGCACCTACACTATGGTGCTGCAACCCTGTAGCTGTAGACATGGCCTGAGAGCCGGAAGAGAAGAAAGAACAATTAGAGAAAAGGATTAGGTGGGGCATAGGGAGCCAGACGGGAAGTAAGAGAAAATGGAAACAGAGATGAAGATGGGGGCAAGATCACATAGAAACTTGAAGGTGAGGGTAAGGAGCTTGCATCTGATGAAGTAAGTGAGGAAGCAAATAAAGGGATTCAAAAAGGAACAACATGATAGTCTGACGCCAGTGCTAGGAGAGAAAACAGATTGTAACATGGACAGTGGTTTTACAGTGAAGGAAAGGAAAGGAAAGATTTTGGTGATATTAAAAATGAAGAACTAACAGGACTTAGCAAAAGACAGGAGAAGTGGGAAATGATGAAAGAAAAATCAAAGATGACCCCAGAATATGAAGCCTGGGAGATAGGGAGGACAGTGAATTTGTCACTGATAGAGAAGGAAAGGATTAGAAGAACAGATAAAACATTAAGTGTTGGGAAGACTGAATTTGAAGTGTCTGAGTAGCTCAAAAAATAAGAATGGCCATACTTTGTCCAACCAATGGTTCATCTAGCCCAATATCCTGTCTTCCGATAGCAGCCAGTGCCAGATGCTTCTGAGGGAATGAACAGAACAGGGCAATTATTGAGTCACAGTCAATCCCTCAAGGTCGAGGAAGATTTCTTTCACAGGTTTTATTTTTTATGGGTCCTTTGGTGTCCAATCCTTGAGCCGCAGGCTCATTAACAGAAATTGCAGATAGTGTTGGAAGTCAGCGTTGGGCCACGATTGCTGCGTGACAGTCATCTGTCCTTTCTTTTCTGGCATTTTTCTGTAACCAGGGCAAGGTGACTTTCCTCAAAAATGGATGTTCCTTCACGGACAAATCTTCGCCAGTTAATCCTATCCTGGGCTACTGTCTCCCAGTGTGTGGTGTCGATGCCACATCATCTTGAGGATGTCTCCAACGCGTTTCTTTTGGCCTCCCCATTTCCTTTCCCCTTTGGTAAGTTGGGCGTACAGCAATTATTTTGGTAAGCATACATCAGGCATGCGAACACAATGCCCACTCCACCTCAGCTGGTGCTGGATAATCAGGGCCTCAACACTGAAGATGTTGGCCTCTGTGAGGACACTGACATTAGTGCAGCAATCCTCCCACTTTATGTTTAGGATCTTCCGAAGAAAGTGCTGGTGTTTTAGGTTTTTCAGGTGTTTTCTATAAGTCATGCAAGTTTCACAAACAACGAAGAGAGTTGGGATTATCACCGCTTTATAAACTAAAAGTCTTGTGTGTGTTCTGATGTTGTGACTGTTGAACACCCAGTGAGACAGTCTGCAAAAGGCAAGGCTGGCACAGCAGATTCTGTGCTGAATCTTGATGTCTATGTCTGCTCTCTATGAGAGATGGCTGCCAAGATAAACAAACTATTCTACATTTTCCAGTTCTTCTCGGTCAATGTAGATCTTCCTTGCTGGGTCTGATGATTGACCAGGAGCTGGCTGTTGAAGAACTTTTGTTTTGCTGATATTCAGAGTTAGCCCTAGGCTTTTGTAAGCTTCAGAGAAGCAATTAAGGACTGTTTGTAGATCCTTCTTTGAGTGTGAAACTACAGCATAATCATCTGCATATTGGAGTTCGGTTATTGTTGCTGATATTACTTTAGTTCTGTCACGGAGACAATAAAGATTGAAGAGGTTGCCGTCAGTCTGATATTGGATGCCAATGCCTTGTGGTAGATGGTATTGGGTTAACGTTGTCATAGTTGCTAAGAAAATGGAGAAAAGGGTGGGTGCCAGTACAGAACCTTGTTTTACGCCAGTTTGGATGACAAAGGGCTCAGAGGTAGAGCCACTGCACAGCATGGAGGCAGTCATCTGGTCATGAAGGAGTCTTAGAATGGTGATAAATTTGCTTGGGCAGCCAAACTTTGACATGATTTTCCACAGAGCCTCATGGTTAACAGAGTCAAAGGCTTTGGTCCGATCGATAAAGGCCATATACAGCTCCTGGTGTTGTTCTTGATATCTTTTCTGGATCTGCCTGGCTGCAAAAATCATGTTGGTGGTGCCTTGTGATGGCCTGAAGCCATATTGGGACTCTGGAAATACTTCCTCTGCAAGAGGGTACAGGGATTCAGTAAAATTCTAGCAAGAATCTTCCCAGCACTGGACAGGAGAGCAATGCCTCGACAGTTGCCACAGTTGGCCCTATCTCTCTTTTTGAAAATCGTGAGTGCTCCATCCCTGGTAGTCTAGTCCCAGCTTCTGCCAGTCAGAGGTTTAGGGACACCCGGAGCATGGGGTTGCATCCCTGACCACGTTGGCTAATAGCCATTGATAGACTTATCCTCTATGACCTTATCTAATTCTTTTTCAAACCCAGTTATACCTTTGGCCTTCAAAACATCCCCTCACCATGATTCTACAGGTTGACTATGTGTTGTGAGAAGAAGTAATTCTTTATATTTGTTTTTAAACCTGCTGCCTATTAATTTCATTGGGTGACCCTTTGTACCATGTTAAGGGTTAAATAACACTCTCTATTCACTTTCTCCACACCATTCATGATTTTATAGACCTCTATCGGATCCTTCCTTAGTCATCTCTTTTCTAAGCTGAACAGTCACAATCTTTTTAATCTCTCCTCGTATGCAAGCTGTTTCAGACCCCTTTTAGTATCAAAAGCTTTACATGTGATACATCATAAAATGAATATGAAACCAGTGATGCAAATCCAGCATGATTTTTTATGAGATTTTCTCCTCATGTTTCATTTGCCAGTATATATACTCCTTGCCGCCTCATGCCAATAAAGCAAGTCACACCATCAAGCAATCATAGTTTTAGAATCTTTTTGTGCCGCAGAATGATATAGCAATTTTTTTCCTTTTTATGTGGGTAGAGAGTCACCCCATAATATTAATTCTATATGCTGGCAATCTTGGACTATTCTTCATTTTGAAACTGGACTACTGCCATTATCTTGGGTATTTCCCTTTGGAAGGTGACTTTGTCTTCTCTAATATCCCTCTAGGTCCTGCATAAATCAAAAAGTAATGTTTATAATACTTAACATAAATGAAGTAGAGCTTGTATCTTTTTCCAAGAATGCAATGCAATATTAGAAAGAGACAAAGTTTATATATATTTTCCCTATTTAAAAATATAGGCATCAAAATGAGAAATGACAGTAGTAATCCTCCTCTTAGCCTTGACCAAGTTTGTCTCCATCATACACACAAGTGGATTGGAATCTCTGTCCAGGCCAATACCTACTAAACTGATTCTTAACTTTCTTGGGAAAGCCAATATAGAGACAATCTTTAAACTACTACCCTGTCTACAACCTCCTCTTCCTATGCAAAATCAATTAGAAGATGGAGACAAATGTCAGCATCACATATCACTGCTAACATCCCAGACTCCTCACTATCAGTCTTCAGACTAAGATACTGCATGGAGATGTCTTTAGTAGCCACTGATGATCTTCTTATGGTTCTTGATAAAGACCAAATGTCATTCCTTATACAATCAGCCTTTCTGCAGCCTGTGGCAGTTAATCACATGGTGTTGTTGACACATTTGTAAGACTTAGCTGGAGTGAATGGGGCAGAAATATGATGGGTTTTAATCATTCCTCTAAATAGACCCAGAGAGCTGTAGTAGGCAGTTGTCCTCATCTCTGACCGTTCTAACATGCAGAATTTGAGAGAGACTAATTCAGACTCTGCCTCCTCTTCAATCTTTATAGGAAATCCCTTGGTGAGATGCCATGTGCATGGCTGGCATCAATGAGTGCATGACACTCAGTTTCCTTCCTTCTTCTCAACAAACAGAATTAACAGTTACAAAGATCTCTTAATGATTTAAAGGGATTAGTACTGAGATGAAGAGTGTCTGGCTTAAACTGAAACCTGTGAGACTGAAGTCATATACACCTCTACCTCGATATAAAGCTGTCCTCGGGAGCCAAAAAATCTTATTGCGTTATAGGTAAAACTGCGTTATATTGAACTTGCTTTGATCCGCCGGAGTGTGCAGCCCCGCCCGCACCTGGAGCACTGCTTTACCGCGTTATATCAGAATTCATGTTATATCAGGTCGCGTTATATCGGGGTAGAGGTGTACTTCAAAATGTCAATGATGCTAACTTCTCTCTTTATTCACAGTAGTATGAAGTCTCAGTCTTATTGGACTCATTGCAAATCTTGGACACCCGGGCAGCAAGAGTGGCAAGAAATGCTTGCTTTCACTGCCAACTTGTCAGTAAACTATGTCCTTTCCTCTCAAAGATGCACTCATTGTGATCCATGCATTTGTATCTTCTGAGTCAAAGCCTGGTCCTTTTCAGAGCAAGTTGTAAGACTCACTTTTTGGAAAGACTTCTCACTGAAACTGAAGACATGAATAGCCACTAACTCCCTCTAACTCCACCCCCACCCCCAAAATAAACCAAAACCAAGCCCTACCAACAGAGTAAGCAAGAGTTACTAAACCTGGAAAAGGCAAAAAGCAGACTCCAGTATGAAGAAGTCTAAGCAGATTTTAATTCCCTATTTGGTGCTCATACTTCACAGTGGTATCTAAGGGCTTGTTTACCTAAATCATTGTAACTACCATATTTTAAATACCTAGTGTAGATGGAATAAGTTTATTGTAATATGTTAGCTGGTAGAGGTGATCAAGTTAATGCGTTACAATACAACTTTTCTCTGTCTGCACTAGGGTTTTTAAACGTTTTAAAAATAGTCGAGATATGCCTAAGAGGACATACTCTACAGAACCTATTTTAGATATAAAAATAATTTAATTGTATAGGCTTAGATATTTAATGACTGGTGGGGAAGCAACACAGTTAGGTGCCAACATATCAGAAGGGATTACTCAGCAGGGCTAAGGAACAACCTGGGGGAAAGATCATATGTTTCAAAAAATTCAAAAAGAAGGGTGTTTTCAAAACAAAAGCTTAAGATTCACTAAGATATTTATCAATTCCAGACTGCATGCTAACTGTAACTGGCAAAACAAGTATTCCTGTGGCATTAATTTCATTTTTCTTTAAATTTAACTAATTACTTTATTCATTCAAACATTTGACTTTTTCCAGGTGATACTTACATGGCCATTAGCAATATCCAGTAAGTCTTTAACCCTACATCCTTTCACAGGTCCAACCTCATTGCAAATTGAATCCTCTATAATTAGGTAGGTGGCTTTGTAGGATGTGAGTATCTTATAAATATCCTCGGCAGACCTTTTTGAATAGATCTGATAAATCTGTAGATTAGAAAATATTTAATACAAATTAAAACCATGGAAAATTAAATGCATATTAAATACATTGGGTAATTGGGAATAAGAAGTTACATATACATCAAATTATAAAAAGGCAGTTATTTAAAAAATATAATTGTATAAATTTGCTACTCAATACATTTCCAGAAATATCTAAGGGTAAAATATGTTTTTGTAAGTGAAATGGATTTCTGGAGACTAGTCATAAGGTTTCAAGTCTCTGGTGCACTAGACATTTGTCGAGAGTATTTAGCAACCATGGATTACAAGCACTGGTATATGATACTACAGGATTTCATGAATAACGCTTCAGGCTTCTGTGACTGGTTCTCAAGATAAGGAGGAGGAATCTTAAAAGATGAGCCCCAGTGTCAGTCCTTTAGTGGGCTAGTATTTTTAGCTTATGACAACTGTGGACAGCAAAAGCTCCATAGCTGATAAGACCATGGGGAGCTGAATGGGAGATGACGTAAACTCTGCTATAGTTGAGGTCTTGGGCTGCTAACCTGGTAAAATTGCCCTAAGAGGTTGGGAAATCCTGTTTTAACAGCCTTTCCTTCAACAGCAGAACTTTGAAAATCTATTTCCACTCTGCTCCCAGCTCAGCCCATCCTCCCACCTCAACTCAAATACACTTAATTTCTTCATCTTCACATTTGGGCTATTTATTCTTCTAATGAAGGAGAAGACATATGGTTCACTCTGGAGTCTGTCACATGCTTCTGAAGTCCGCTGGTGAGTTCCTAGAGAGTGATGAGACACTGCTACTCTCCTGCTATACTTTTGCATCACCCTCAAACAGGGAATGAGGAACCTATTTAGAGTTCTGATCTCAATTTCCTTGCAGAGTAGTCCCCGTGGTAATAGCAGGTGATCGGACAAGTCCTTCTAAACAGAAAACTTGGAACACTTTTTTACCTTTCATGGCTGCATTGATATTCTGCACCAGCTACCGACCACTACTACGGAAGTGCACTGCTAAAGACTTTGGAAATGTCTGCTTAGATTCTGTTTTTTGGTGTCAGGAGATCTCACTGGAGATCAACAGGCAAGAGAGGAGTGGAAGGAAAAATAAGCCAAAGGGCATCTAAAATCATGTGAGGCAGTCGATTCCTGTTAAAAAAATAACATTACTGGCAAAATGCAGTTTCTAAAGTTGTGCTGAGACTCAGGCCTGGTCTACACCTAAAACTTAGGTCGACCTAGCTACATCACTCACAGATGTGAAAATTTCACACCCCTCAGAGACATAGGTAAGCCAACCTAACACATGGTATAGACACCAGTAGGTCGACAGAAGAATTCTGAGCTATCACCTCACAGCGGGGTGGATTTATTATAGCGATGGAAAAACCCCTGCTGTCGCTGTAGCAAGGGTCTACCCTACAGTGGCATAGCTGCAGCTGTGCTGCTGTGGCATTTGCAGTGTAAACATACCCTCAGTATTCACTGGTCATGAGAAGACAGAAGGTAACAGTGTCAAGGCGTCAAACCCAGTAAAATAAGAAATTATCTCTCCTCAATCAACCACCTAACTCTTAACTCTCCAATTTATTTTTTTGTTGTATTCTCAAACAAGACTGCCTGGCAACAAAATGATTTCTAGTGTCATTCAGGCCTACCGACGTTTCACTATTCTGAAGCCAATTGTTTACATAGTATCCTCGGAGTCCTGGAATACAATACAATTCCAGCACGGATGGTCAAAGTAGATGTCAATTCTGCTCCATGGTTCAGTTAAGTAGCAAAACATCTTAATTGAAAGATGTTTATCTCAGACTCCAGTGATGCAGGTCTGTTTCTGCCCATGAATTCAGCTGGTAGCCCAGAACCATGTCAGAATCCAGAAAGTTAGCTCTTCACTTCTGCATTTTTATAATGATCCGAAAAACCTCTCTTGCAATCAAGGGAAATTAATTCATGGGATATGGAGGTGAATACATAAATGAGGACACACTGTATACTACAATACTAGAAAGTATGCTAAATTCAGTGACTTTACTAGGTCTGAATATTAAATGATTCTAGATGGGGAAAAATTATAATCCTACATAGGTGCAGGAAAAATTAAATCACTATAATCTAAATTAAATGGGTCCCAAGAATTTGACCTATCTTGTATTTACCAAATAACCAGACACATCACATACATATACATACAATACCAGTATACAAAAAGTGAGATTTTTACTGTTTTGGAAATGAATTAATATTATTTTGCACTCCTGTGTACCCATTCATGGGAGGACTTTAGAGCAATTATACCAGTGGGTCCAACTTGAGACATAGAGGGTTATTTTGACTCTTCCCTCTTCCTCATCCAAACATCCAGGCATTATGCGAGTCCTGCAACTTCTTTTAAGTATTCCTCTTAGTATGCCCAAGATCTGTCCTTTTCTTTCCATCTCCACACCCAAATCTCTCATTCTGGACCTCATTATATCCTGCCTTGATTTACTGCAACATCCTCCTCTTTGGTTTCTCAAACACATACATTGCTCTTCAATCCAGACAAAATGAAGTCACTAAATTTATCTTTCTTGCCCACTGATACGATCACGCTTTTTCAATCTCTCTTCTTGTTCCCCAGCCACTCTTATGTCAAATTTAAGGTTTCTGACACCACCTTCACAGCTCTATAAAACTCTGTCCCTCTTTACTTATCTTCTTTTGTCATATTTCACACTGGCCCCCGATGCCCTTCGCTCAGTGTTCCTGAGTGTTCTTCCACACAGTCTTCTATGCATGGCAAAACCTCCCTGAGTTCATCGGCAAGTCCACAACTCTCCTAACATGTCCCTCTTAAAACCCACTTCTGCCATGCTGCTTATGGTGAATCAAGCTGCCATGTATATTACCCTTCCCCAACCTCTGTCTACTTGTCTATCCTTAGAATGTAAACTCCATTGGTATTTAATGTTTGGAAGGCACCTGCCACATGGTGGGCACTAGCATAAATAAATAATAAAAATTGCTCACCCCAGGTGGTCCGGGAAACAAGGGACACGGAGACCTGAACTTGGATCCCATGTTGGAACTCCAACTCCACAAGACCATCAGGTGGCCTTATCTTCTTTGACATGTATAATTTTCAATGCTCCTACACATATCAAGCACCTCAACTCATTTCCCACATAACGAATGAAGAATGAATCACTGATACCGCAATACATTTTTGGAATCAGATACTCACATTCTCATTTCTTTGTAGAAGATCAACATCATTATATGAAGGTAGACTTGCCACCATCCATCCAGTACACAGCTTAATCAAACCCATTAGCTGTGGACTTCCAGCAAACACAGCAGCAACAGGAGCCTGTCTTCTACAAAAAACAACATCACTTCATGCATTTAAGTACAAGGACATATTTTCTAAAACAATATTTTATATCAATTCTAACACCCAAATGAATCTTATAACCTGCTAAGGTAAAAATTCCAGCTCATGAAGATACCATTATGCATCTAACACATTTAACTGAAATTACTCTTCTTAGCAATCAGCTATGAAGTGGCCTAGTAGCATGATCAAAGTCCTTTGCATTCCTAGGTGGAAGCCCAGGCTTATTAGGAGCATGAGCTGATTAAGAAGCCTCCTGATGAAGAGAGTGGAGAGAAGGGTTGGCTAACTGCCATTCACTTCTGCATCATTTAATTCATGAAACAGTACTTGGTCCTGAAGGGACTGGGATCCTTGTCTTCTGAGCTGGCAGGAGAATGCCAAGTAGCACACACAGGAATGGGTGGAAGGCGAAGGAGGAAAAGAAATGTGGCAATAACTATAGAAAAAATGAAAACCACAGAACAAGAAAAGAGATGCTACATATTTATATACACCTAGCAGAGCTTCTATAAAAGAAATACAAATTTTTATATAAAGGTAGTTCAAAAGCTATACTCAGAAAATATGTCTCAGTTATTTTACCTACCTATCAACAAAAAGCAATTAAAAGCTCCTGCAAGTCCCACCACACAACGAATATTTTTAAATAATCAGATTCATTTTATCATATGTTCTGCCCTGGCAAGGTTTTATTTTATTTGAAGATGTACTGGTAAAAGACATATGTGTTTAGACAACTTGACTATCAAAAAAGGTCACACAAATATTTAACAGGCTCAGTTCAGTGGTGGGCAACCTGCGGCCTGCAGGCCACGAGACAGTTTGTTTACATTGACCGTCCGCAGGCACGTGCCTGTGGACGGTCAATATAAACAAACTGTCTCGTGGCCCGCCAGCAGATGCCAATAAAGATATTCAGTTATGAACTGAAAAATTTCCATTTTCATTAAAAATACAAACAGCTGTAAAAAGTGGTAGTCAGACTGCTCTTTGTTGAGCATATCTCAAAGCAATTCACCATGATTAATTATGTACTTGATGTGTAATATATGCAGGCTAATGCAAAAGTCATTAGGCACTTGGCATGGTTCCACTTGCTGCCATAAAGATCCACAGGGTGACAAATATCCTACGCTGCTATTAACAAAAAGAGGAAATTGGTTGGAACATCATAATTATCAACCTAGTCTTTTCTGAAGACGTACAGTTAAAGTCACTAAACTATTTGAACACAAGGGGCCCAATTCAACCCTCAAAGGCACAAGTTCCAGGAGCATCAACAGAACAGCTGTTGCACTGTGTGAGGGCCAAATAGGGCCTGTAGTTCTCATTGGGAAAGCATTTATTTTTACAGATAAATTATTTTTTCTTCAAGTAAGATTCAGTTGTACTCTCAGTATTTGTTATGACTAAGGCTGCGAGTTTGTCACGGAGGTCACGGATTCCGTGACTTCTGCAGCGGCCAATGCACCTCGCTCAGGGGCAGCTCAGGCAGCCCCTGCACCAGGCGCACTGGCCGTTGCTGGGGCAGTCTCAGGCCACCGTGCCCTCAGCAGCAGAGTTTGGGTGTGGGAGGGGGTACGGGGTTGGGATACAGGATGGGGTGAGGTGGGCTCTGGGCGGCACTTACCTGGGTGGCTCCCCGGAAGCGGCGACATCCTCCTTGCTCAGCTGCTAGGAGGAGGCACGGCCAGGCAGCTCTGCACGCTGCCTCTGCCCAGAACACTGGCTTCACAGCTCACATTGGCCGGGAACTGCGGCCAGTGGGAGCTGCCGGGGGTGGGGGTGCCTGCAGGCGGAGGCAGTGTGCAGTACTGCCTGGCCACGCCTCTGCCTAGGACAGAGCTGAGCGAGGGGAATGTCACCACTTCTGGGGAGCCCCACAGCCAGGTAAGCGTCGCCCAGAGCCCGCCTCACCCCATCCCATGCCCCAACCCCCTGCCCCCTCCCACACCCAAACTGAGTCTGCTGCTGCTGGGTGGGGGAGGCGTGGAGGCAGGTAGGTAGCATGCCAGCCCTGCCAACCCTCCCCGCCCCCAGCACGAGCGTGGGTCCCGGGCCACATACCGCTGCCTGCCCACCCACCCCCAGCACCAGTGGGGGTCCCAGGCCGCATGATGTCACCTGCCCGCCCCAGCACCCGGGCTGCCCTCCCACAGCACCTGCGGGGGCCCCGGGCAGGCCCCCCGTCAGTTTTAGTCATGGGTATTTTTAGTAAAAGTCAGGGACAGGTCATGGGCTGTGAATTTTTGTTTACTTCTCGTGACCTGTCTGTGACTTTTACTAAAAATACCCGTGACTAAAACGTAGCCTTAGTTATGACCAACACAGCTAGCCATGGACAAGAACTGACATAGCCTCCTGGTCAAAGTGGAAGTCTTTAACCAAATACATTACATTACTGCTTTACTTAAATCTCTTATTCCCTCCATCAGTAGGGTTGATTCTGCCAATTGCTGAGCACTCTGGCCCTGATACAGCTAAGAATGTAAGTGGTTATGCACCTTGCAGGATCAAGCCTGATATTTGTCTCCACCAATGTTTTTTGCAAATAGCTATTAGAAAATTAGCATTTAAAGAACTAAGAATATAACATTCACCAACTTAAGTTTTTTACTTGGCGATTAAGATTGGTAACTAAATTATATGAAAGCAAGTCACACACAATGCAGAAGCTGCTTCTGCTCCCACTGAAGTCAATGACAAGTTCCTATTGCTTTCAATGGAAGTAATATCAAGCCCATAATCCCTGTCTTCTTTCTCTTCCCAAACCACATGATCAAGTATGGAGGGAAAACTCATATTAATAACTGGATTTTGATTAATAACTGTAGTCTGTAATCTATCATTTAAATCAGCTTCTGTACCAAATGACTGGAGAATAGCTAATGTGACGCCAATTTTTAAAAAGGGCTCGAGAGGTAATCCTGACAATTATAGGTCGATAAACCTGACTTCAGTACCAGGCAAACTGGTTGAAACTATGGTAAAGAACAAAGTTGTCAGACACATAGATGAACATAATTTGTTGTGGAAGAGTCAACATGGTTTTTGTAAAGGGAAATCATGCCTCACCAATCTACTAGAATTCTTTGAGGGGGTCAACAAGCATGTGGATAAGGGGAATCCAGTGGATATAGTGTACTTAGATTTTCAAAAAGCCTTTGACAAGGTCCCTCACCAAAGGCTCTTAAGCAAAGTAAGCGGTCATGGGATAAGAGGGACGGTCTTCTTATGGATTGGTAACTGGTTAAAAGATAGGAAACAAAGGGTAGGTTTTCAGAATGGAGAAGGTAAATAGTGGTGTCCCCCAAGGGTCTGTACTGGGCCCAGTACTTTTCAATATATTCATAAATGAGCTGGAAAAAGGGGTAAACAGTGAGGTGGCAAAATTTGCAGATGATACAAAATTGCTCAAGATAGTTAAGTACCAGGCAGACTGCGAAGAGCTACAAAATGCTCTCTCCAAAGTGGGTGACTGGGCAACAAAATGGCAGATGAAATTCAATGTTGATAAATGCAAAGTAATGCACATTGGAAAACATAATCCCAACTATACATATAGAATCACAGACTTTAAGGTCAGAAGGGACCATTATGATCGTCTAGTCTGACCTCCTGCACAACGCAGGCCACAGAATCTCACCCACCCCTCCTGTATCGAACCCCTAACCTATGTCTGAACTATTGAAGACCTCAAATCGTGGTTTAAAGACTTCAAGGTGCAGAGAATCCTCCAGCAAGTGACCCATGCCCCACGCTGCAGAGGAAGGCGAAAAACCCCCAGGGCCTCTGCCAATCTGCCCTGGAGGAAAATTCCTTCCCGACCCCAAATATGGCGATCAGCTAAACCCTGAGCATCTGGGCAAGACTCACTAGCCAGACACCCAGGAAAGAATTCTCTGTAGTAACTCAGATCCCACCCCATCTAACATCCCATCACAGGTCATTGGGCATATTTACCACTAATAGTCAAAGATCAATTAATTGCCAAAATTAGGCTATCCCATCATACCAGCCCCTCCATAAACTTATCAAGCTTAGTCTTGAAGCCAGATATGTCTTTTGCCCCCACTGCTCCCCTTGGAAGGCTGTTCCAGAACTTCACTCCTCTGATGGTTAGAAACCTTCATCTAATTTCAAGTCTAAACTTCCTGATGGCCAGTTTATATCCATTTGTTCTTTTGTTCTTATACAATGAGGGGGTCTAAATTGGCTGTTACCACTCAAGAAAGAGATCTTGGAGTCACTGTAGATAGTTCTCTGAAAACATCCACTCAATGTGCAGTGGCAGTCAAAAAAGTGAACAGAATGTTCGGAATCATTAAGAAAGGGATAGATAATGTTTTCACCCCTCAGCTCATAGAGAGAGACAGAAATATCATATTGCCTCTATATAAATCCATGGTACGCCCACACCTTGAATACTGCGTGCAGATGTGGTTGCCCCATCTCAAAAAAAGATATATTGGAATTGGAAAAGGTTCAGAAAAGAGCAACAAAAATGATTAAGGATATGGAATGGCTTCCGGATGAGGAGAAATTAATAAGACTGGGACTTTTCATCTTGGAAAAGAGATGACTAAGGGGGGATATGATTGAGGTGTATAAAATCATGACTGGTGTGGAGAAAGTAAATAAGGAAGCATTATTTACTCCTCCTCATAACACAAGAACTAGGGGTCATCAAATGAAATTAATAGGCAGCAGGTTTAAAAGAAACAAAAGGAAGTATTTTTTCATACAACGCAGTCAACCTGTGGAATTCCTTGTCAGAGGATGTTGTGAAGGCAAAGACTATAACAGGGTTCAAAAAAGAACTAGATAAGTTCATGGAGGATAGATCCATCAATGGCTATTAGCCAGGCTGGGCAGGGATGGTGTTCCCAGCCTCTGTTTGCCAGAGGCTGGGAATGGGTGACAGGGGTTGGATCACTTAGTGATTACCTGTTCTGTCCATTCCCTCTGGGGCACCTGGCATTGGCCATTGTCGGAAGACAGGATACTGGGCTAGATGGACCTTTGGTCTGACCCAGTATGGCTGTTCTTATGTCTTATGATAAAATATGCTGTTATTACTCAAAACAAAAATGCATTGAGCAAAACAAAACAGAGAGATACATCCAGGAACTCACACTTACTTTATCCACATCATGAGTTCTACTGTATCTGAGTCATAAAATTCTTGCAGTTCTGAAAGCTCTGTCATTATCCTAGGAAAATACTGAAGAAAATAAACAGAAGTTTATTACGTACCATGGTAAGCCCAATGGGATCTCTCAAACATTGTAACTTTAAATACAGCAATAAGAGTAATCTGTAGTCTTTACAGTCACAAAAGAAATATTGCTACAGATGATCAATTAAAGTCTAATAAAACTGTTTTATATTTTGGTTCAAATTCAATGGTTTAGTACCATAAACTCCAAAGGATTTACACCAGGAGTGAATCTGACCCCTTATATTAAAAAACGAACAAAACCACAAACTTTTTCCCTTTGGTTTTTGAGACAGTAACTTGAAGCATACAATAGTAAACTAAATCGCAGTTGTCCCTCTACAGAGGGTAATAGTAGATCTAACAATACTATGTAATTTAATCTAGTAATGCATTTTGTTGAAGTGTCCTTCTGTTCCTCAAATGACCCCAACACAATTCTCCTCAGTATAAAATTATGGAAGTTTCTGAGAGAAAATTATTATAACATCTGGATCTTTTTAACCTTTTGCAACTTTTTCCCCCCCTTTCCTTCAGTTCAGTTCTATGGTATAATGACACAAACTTCTTAAACTGGATTTGTAACATATAGAGCCCTCTAGGTGTCCAAACCCTTAAAACAGTTTTGTTAGAACAATCTGAAGTACAGAATTCCCCAGTCAATTGAACAAGTTTTATTTACTGTAAATAGATATATATCTGACATTTTAAAGCCATTATAGCTTCCCAGAGAGCCAATTTAAATGCACTGGCAGCATATGTGAAGTCAGAAGATGTGTAAAGAAAGTCTTACTCTACTGCTATACATACATTGTATCAGAACTTCAATAATAAACCATTTGAATCAGATGTTCATACCTTATCACTAAGGGACCATCGTGATCTAGTCTGATGTCCCGCACATTGCAGGCCACAGAACCTCACCCATCCACTTCTGTAATAAACCCCTAACCTCTGGCTGAGATACTGAAGTCCTCAAATCATGGTTTAAAGACATCAGGTTACTGAGAATTTACCATTTACACTGATTTAAAACTGCAAGTGACCCATACCCCATGTTGCAGAGGAAGGCAAAAAACCCCTAGGGCAGTGGCTCTCAACCATTCCAGACTACTGTACTCCTTTCAGGAGTCTGATTTGTCTTGTGTACCCGCAAGTTGCACCTCACTTAAAAAAAAACTACTTGCTTACAAAACCAGACATAAAAATACAAAATGTCACAGCACGCTATTACTGAAAAATTGCTCACTTTGTCATTTTTACCATATAATTATAAAATAAATCAATTGGAATACAAATACTGTACTTACACATCAGTATATAAAGCAATATAAACAAGTCATTCATTGTCTGTATGAAATTTTAGTAAAACTAGGCAAATGTCTAGATGAATTGATGTACCCCCTGGAAGACCTGTGCATACCCTCAGGTACGCATACCCCTGATTAAGAACCACTGCCCTAAGGTCTCTGCCAATCTGACCCAAGGGAAAATTCCTTCCCACTTCCAATATGGTGATCATTAGACCCTGAGCATGCAGGCAAGACTCATCAGGCAGATACCTGGGAAAAAATTCTCTGTAGTAACAGAGCCCTCCCTATCTAGTGTCCCATCTCCAGCTGTTGGGGATTTTTGCTACTGGCAGTCGCCGATGGGCCACATGCCATTGTAGGCAGTCCCATCACGCCATTCCCGCCATAAACTTATCGAGCTCAGTCTTGAAGCCAGTTAGGTTTTTTGCCCTCCCTGCTCCCCTTGGAAGGCTGTTCCAGAACTTAACTCCTCGGTTAGAAACCATCACCTAATTTTGAGTCTAAACTCATTGATGGCCAGTTTATATCCATTTGTTCTTGTGTCCATGTCATCTCAGTACAGAGAAGAACTACAATTTTCAGATACTTTTGCCATTTACAAACTTAAATTTTAACAATTATTCACTCTGTAATATGATAACACCCGTTAAAAGAGCAATCTGATTCCTGTATAATGTCTATTTAACAAAAGCTCACTATTGTATTGATTGTTTTGTTCTTGATATTTACATAGCAAGGATTTGTAAACCTTTTAACACTTCCTACATAAATAAATTGTTTAAAACAATTAAGTATTTAGAAATAGCTTTTCTGAACTATTGCAATATGGAATTGAACTTTTTTTTTTAAATCAGGACACATCTATGTAAGTGCCTAAATGGTATCCTTTATTGTAGTATTTGAACATCTAGATTATTTCTACGTAAGGTTCTAAACTAAGAATTCCATTTCTTGTTGACAGGAGCTTTTCAAATAAAGCACTTGCAACTGCCTTCTGTAATTCTACTTCCAACCTATCTAACTGCCTCTCAGTGAAAACACGCATGGGATGACATACTCTTAAAAATGTTCCAATGTTTTACTTTTGCAATATTTTCTCTGTACAATCACTTTACTTTATAAATCCAAAATTTAAATGAATGTGTTTGTCTTCAGACAACAGACTAATGCATGTTTTAATTGCACCAGCCACAATTGTTATGTATCCTTGTACATACAACTATATATGATTTTATTTGCTGTTTTTAAAGAACTGTGTTCACTAGAGCACACTTCACATAGGCACTATCTTCTCTCACCAGCAAGACATTACTTATACTGTGCCTACAATGAACACTTAAAATACTCTTTTTCTTACCTCTTTCCACAAGCTGAAACCTATTATACTTGGAACTGCCATACTCAGAATGAGAGCCTAGAATATTAAAAAAAAAAAAAAAAGAGATTACTGATTGCTCCTTTATTCCCCACACATGGAATCTGGGATATTTACTGTTTGTGCCTAAAAACTGAGACACAAGGTGGGAGAGGTAATATCTTTTACTGGACCTCAACTTTCCAATATTCTTGGACCAAAACGTATACAACAACACCGCACATCTAAAAGCGGTCAGCTGTAATAGAACGAGTCTCAGACATGAACATTAAACAACATTTGGACAAATTCTGCAGTTCTTAATCAAGCAAAACTCAATATGAACAAACAGGATTTTACTTGATTAAACACTGCAGAATTTGGCTCACTGTAACTTTAGTAGTATTGGGTCTGAATAGTTTATTCTTCAAGCAACAGTGATGAAGTGCATACATGAGCTGGGGGGAGGAAGCAAGAGTGAACAGGTTCTCTCTCACTAAGGTGATCAAGAGACAAAGAAAAAACGAAAGAATGAAAAGTGCAATTCAATTCCCTTTAACCGTATTTATTCTCTCATTCAGAATCCCAGTATTAATACAAAAGAACAGCCTATTATACAGCACAGCAGCATTTCAGCTAATCAACCTCGTCTTGCAAAGAAGGAGTAGTATAACACTGTTTTGGTAATTTCTAGTAATGAATGTATGCAAAGCAATCTACTGACAATTAAAACTGCAGTAGGTCAGTTAATTGCATGCACAAAATAAAACATGAAATAGAAACAAATAGATGTTCTTACATAACCTGGTATCAACTACATTACCTCTGGAAGAACTGCCTTGGCAGTTCTTACAGAGTACTACTGCTTAGCATTTACATAGCAAGTGACATGTCCAAGGCATTGTACAAACATTCAATAAATAATTATTCCTCAGAGCACCCTTGAATCAGGTAACTGGATATGATCCCCATTTTATGGAATGGTAAAATGTGGCAGAAAAGAGATGTGATTTACCCAAGGCCACTCATCACATCAGTGGTAGAGCTGGGATTACAATAGAAGTGGTCCTGATTCCCACTGCAGCATTTATCCCTCTTAAACCCTGATTAGAGGCTGTAGCATAAACATGAGCAGACAAATGGTCTCAACAAACCTTATATGAATAATTCCAGCTATTGTTTAGTTTGACAATTTTTCAATCTTTCCCAACAATTAAATATACATTTGTCCAGGCTGCCCTATTTTTCTAACCTTAAATGTTTCTTTAGAATTCTCAGTTACTCATCACTTATAAAAGAGATGTACTCATTAGCTATAACAACTACCATCAATGGCTAAAAATGACTGGTAATGATGACTCACCAGCAATATTGGGTGTACAGCTCTCAGTCGAAGCCATTTGAAAAGCGTCATCCAAAGCTCAGGGGAGCATACACCAAATGCTGCAAGCATACACATATAGGGAGTCCACAGATACTTTATGCTGGGAAACACCACAAAAATCCAAAGATGAGACATTGCACAGATTGTATTCAGACTCCAGACACAAACACACACCTGTCTCTAAAATTTATTTGGCTAACAGTCTGGAAAATGCCATTGTTCTAGTCTAAACAGCATTACATATAGTGTCATAAGAATAAATGTTCAGAATATCTTTTTAAACTGCTTTGCTGTTGCTTGACATGTCAAAACACACATCTCATGATGTTCTAAACAGACAATGAGATGGAGTAGAGGTCTTTTCCATTTCTAGTTTCCATGATACACCATGAATAAGGCCCTACTTAATTTGCAATATTTTGGAAATTGCGGCTCCTGTGATATTAGACTTTCAGTGCAATGTTGACAGTGGGAGCCCCGGGCTCCTGATAGCAAATAATCGTGGAAAAGTAATAATGGGCCTTATTACCACAAATAGGTCCATTATTACTTTTCTACAATTTTCATGGCTTGTCCACAACTCAGCAGCAATTATTGGACAATCATCCCACGATTCAAGAACGGCCTTAACCATGAACTACCTGGTGCATCAAAAAGTTACATAAGATTTCAATGGAACATAGGAATTTAAAAAGAATGCTAGCACAGCAGCTGAATTTGAAGACCAACGGGGCAATGATTAAAAATTTGTTCCAATTAACTTCTCAGATTTATGCTGGGAAAAACCTAAGAAAATGGGTTCAAGAAACCAAAGACACTTAAGCATAGTCTACTTTTTTTTTTGTTGGCGATATATGGCAAAGCTCACTCGCCTATTTCCTAGAGTAATTATTAGTGTTATATGTCAAATGGGTTTCAGAGAAGAATGTGGGAGGGGGACAATTTGGACAACTTCTAAACGGGTGACTAAAATACCAGTAATATTTTGCCACTTTCAAAACAGAAATATCAATATAAAACTTACCCTTCCAACATCATTGCAAGAGAACCCATTAACATTGTGTGGATTACATGATAAGCTATCTCTGGCCTCTCTCCAATTCGGCCATCATCAAGTGTAATTTTTTCTTTGAGTGGTCCACCACTGCAGTTGGAAGAAAATGAAACAGCATTTATCTCACACACTGTCTCAAGCTGTGATACCTACAAAAAACTTGACAACAGCTAGGCCACTGGTGTGCTGATACCACTATCTATCATGCTGACCAATATTGTCTTATTGTTTCCTTGTACCCCCTGTCCATCTGTCTGTATTTATCTTCTGTCTCTTGTCTTGTACTCTGATTGTAAGCTCTTTGGGGGCAGGGACTGTCTATGTTCTGTGCTTGTCTGGCTCCATGGCTTGGTCCATGATTAGGGCTCCTAGGCACTACGATAACACAAATAATAAATAACTTTAACAAAGAATCTAATTCAAGAGTAAGAAGGCTTCACACATGTAACTATTTTGCACTGAAGTATGCTGTACTTAAGCTAAACCATGCTTTGTCATATTATTAGCCCAACTACAAGCTGTAGAATCAGTGAAACTGCACCTATAATTTGAGGACAGAAAAAAGGATGGAAGACTGTTCAATCTCATCATTACAGATCCTAGTAGTATCAGATTTAGATTGCTATCTTGCATATATAAAACAAATCCATTCACCAACTTGGAAGGTGAGGGGTGGAATGGGAAGGAATAGATTTTATTCAATCATAAAATTATTTTAAGCTACATCACAATAATAAACGTAATTGTGACAAAATGGAGAACTAAGACTATTAATACTTCACAATCAAAAAATAATTTTTGGACTTTTTTTAGATTTTCCGAAAAAGAGTTTTGTTGGACAAATTGAAGTCACTGCTTGTCACAAAGTTGTCATGTTTATTACAAATGAAAATCAATTTGAAGAATGAGAAAATTAAAACTGACAAAATCATCATGCCTCAAAGCTGATTACTTGTTACAAATCTCAGGGGAAACAACTTTCCAATAAATATGGCATAATCTTCATCTCCTAAAAGTCTGACAGATTTTGAAAAATCCACTCTCATCTTTACCCCTCACAAGTGGGAAGCTTGACCTGGCATAGAAGGGAATCTATACCTTTCATTACATTCAGCATAATGTAAACTCTTCAGAAACGAGTAAGGTAATTTTCTAGCACTTAAGATTTCAAAGATAACCTTCTATATTAGGACCTATGCAGTGGTGCCATTCTAAGCCTGCAGACAGTTCCATTGCCTCTTCTACTGCTCACAGTTTTACCAAGCAAAAACAGATTCAAACTAAGGGTATGTTTACACTGTATTCAGGGATTTGACTGCAGCATGTGTAAGCACACCTGGGTTAGCTTTGTTTGAGCTAGCTCACTAAAAATAGCAGTGTAGCTGCAGCAGCACAAGTGGTGGTATGAGCTAGACACTTGAGTGTGTACCCAGGCGGGCTTGTACTCTGGTGGCTAACCCATGCAACTGCCTGCCCTGCCCTGATTTCAGTGCTATTTTTAGTGAGCTATCTCAATCAAAGCAAGCTCAGGTATGCCTACATCTGCTGCAATCACACACACACACAAACGCAGTGAAGACATACTCAAAGAGGATACTAGTCAGTTTCATTGGTTCTTTTCAGAATCCTGTGGGCCACAGTGAAACAAAGGAATCAGGTCAGTTTTACTCTACTGCTTGGCTCTCAGCAGCAGAAGACGCAGGGACTCATAACAGGAGATCAAGGCCAAAAAAGACAGAGGTGAGGCCGACTACTGGAGATCCTCTCCATTCCTCCACCTTATTCATGGCAGCCAGGAGGTTGTGGTGAAGACAAATACTAGAGAAACATAAATCCTCTTGCAGCAGAAACACACTAGTCAGAGGCTGACACACAAGAAGCTCTTAGAAGGATCCAGGGCTCCTCTCTTCTGGCAGCAAGGGTGGGTGATGTACTACCTATCAGGGAATTATCTATGGAGCTCTCTTCCACTCATATTTGCTATCAAGCTATTGCTAAATTCATAAATGTTTTATACAGTTTTAAACCCTGGTCTATCAGAAGATTACAACTAACCGTTCATATATAATTTCATAATCCTCAAATTAGCTGTATAAAAATAAGTGATAAAAAATAAACCACTTACCTAATTCTCCTAAAAATGACTTGAGTTACAGAAGAAAGGCAGATAATTAATACTAAAATATAAAAAGGCAATAGAGATGACTGAGTTAGCCGCAAAAAAAAGTCTTGAGATGGTGTCTGAAGGGATTCTTGACAAAGAAGCCAGTTCACTGTAAAGTTCCTAGTAAGGTAGAAATATCACATATAAAAAGAAATTATTAGCTCATCTGCTCAGCTGAATCCAAATTAATATATTTCCTCCCCAATAACAATTTTTAAAAAATCAGTTCATAAACTCATCCTTGAAATGTATATTTGGTGATCTGAAAAGAGCAGGTTATAACATTTTATAAGCACTTCTGTACAGGGAAAAATCCATTTCTAAAAACTTCATTCTGGGGAATCACAAAGTACTTCACAGATATCAAGGAATTAAACCTAATGACTTATTCTTGAGGAAAGGAAGTGTGTTTATCCCCATTTCACAGAGAAGGAAACTGAAAGCTGAGCTAGTTTATCGAAGATCACATAGGTAGCTTACAGCAGAGCCAAGAAAAGAACATGGAATTCCCAAGTTCCAGTCCTGAGTCTTAATCACTTGACAATCCTTCCTTCCTCTCACAAAAGAATTCAACCAGAGAACCGAGAAAGTCTAGTCTTTAATTTATGTATTGCTAGAAATCAGTATCCTCTACTGGAATGTAAAACTGATGATGTAAATGATGCACTGAATTTGTCCATGTCTTCATCTCCTGTATCTTTACTAGGACTTCTCACCCCCTTTCTTCTCCTCCCTCTTTTCTTCTTTTTGCATCTACTCTAGAGAATCAAACCATTTTCAATCAACGTGTCTGGACAGAACCAGTTTAAGGATGAACAGTGCATTGTGTCCACATTAGTGGGCACTAGTAATGAGTCACTTTAACAACTCTTGTGCCGCGATCCCATGTCCCCTCTAGTTTTGTTCTAAACAAATTTAGTTGCACTGTCATCTTGGTACCTATCCCACAGTTTCCAGCGCTGTTCCCAGAAGCATGGATTGTGAGAGATTTTAACAGGCCTTCTAAGATAACCTCAAGAGAGACAGGAAATTGTGAGAGTACAGATCAAGCTCCCATAATTCTAATGGGAAGTTTCACAATTATCCAGGAGGACTCTCATCCATTTGTCTCAATTACTGATTTAAGGGGAGTAACTCCATGTCTTAAAAGTGAAATAATCCAATCACTGTAAAAGTCTCATATACAGATCTCTAACACACCTGTTGGTTGAGATAAAACCAAAATCCTGACAAAATGTAGCCATTAAAGACCCTTTCTGGAGCTTTCAGGAAAAATAGGAATGTTAATCACTGTGTCTTGGCTAAGCTTATTACATTCTGCCTTCCTAAAATTCCCCCAGAAATTTCAGTTGTATGTAATTGTATTCTTTACTTCCTGTCCTGAAATGCTGTGAAGTCATTTTGTACAGAGGCAAGTGCATTTCAGTGGAGATGGTAGAACTTCCTGTACAGAGTTTGTAAACACTGGCCTCAGGTGCTAGGAACTCTCAGAGTCCAACAAAGTGCATATTTCAATATCATTACCTATGTCTCATCTAAGATATTCTAGAATATCTGCAGTGATGGTGCCGGTCATTGGCTCTGGTACTCTAGTTCCCTGCCCAATTATTATGGTTAAGAACACATTTTTAATATCCAGCCCTAACATTTTCTTCTCACCTTAAGGATTACAGCGCTTTGTCTTACAATCTTCCAAAACTTTCAATAATTCCCTCCGTTTACTTACAAAAATACGTTTGAGGTAACAGTACTCATTGCTGATGCCATCTCTCTCTCTCTCTCCAGAGTCTTCCCTTTTCTAGACTATATGAATTTAGCTCCATGGTTTCCCATCATCGTCTTAGTCTCCCACTATTATTAGGGTATGTCTACACTATCCGCCGGATGAGCGGGCAGCGATCGATCCAGTGGGGATCGATTTATCGAGTCTAGTCTAGACGCGATAAATCGACCCCCGAGCCTTCTCCCGTCGACTCCTGTACTCCAGTGCCGCGAGAGGTGCAGGCAGAGTTGGTGGGGGAGCGGCAGCAGTCGATTCACCGCGGTGAAGACACCACAGTAAGTCGATCTAAGTACGTCGACTTCAGCTGCGCAACTTAGATCGATCCCCCCCCGCTACCTCCCCCCCAGTGTAGACCAGGACTTAGAAATATTGGTTAGAAGTAGGATGTTTTCAGGGCTCTCTGATGCAGAGTTTAAATGTTGAAAAAAACAAACCAGAAACTTTTACCCTTGCTGCAGGAAGTGGCACTGAAGTGCTACAGAATTCCAGAAACCCCAAGCACATCCTGTATGTGCCAAATTTCTAAAGTTTTTTTTAAAAAAGAAGGTAAAAAATTAGTTTCTAAGTTCTCCTACAAAATATTAGGAGCGTCTGCATTTAAATGCTTGTATTTTTCAAAGTAATTTCAAAATTCTATGTATTTTAGACAGCTGTAAATAAATAGCTCAAACTTACTTAGTTGTGTTTAATCCAAATTTTACTTCAAGGAACTTCAACACATGCTCATTTTCTTTATGGGGAACAAATGTCTGAAAAAAAATTAAGCGAAGATAACTAAGTAGCACCTGTAACATAGCCTTCTTTTCCTTCAGATTACAAAACAGTGCAGGGAATAACAACACACCCCAAAAATATAGTTAAAACAAAGCTGTCATCAGTTCAGGAATTTCATAATACAGTAAAATCTCATTTAAATAAATTTTGCTTAGTGTTTCCCAGAAGGTTATATACTCTTCACTTCATTCAGGTTCTCCAAATGGAGAGAAGAGTGAAGAATTGCCAGCCAGCTTCCACCAGACCAGCCACCAGCAGGGTGAAAGCTGCAAACTGGGTATAATCCCAGCACAGAGCAAACCAAAGAGGATGGTAATTGACTCCCGTAGTCAACAGAGCCCTGGTTTAGCCAAAAGCTGGGGGTGTTTCAGATACCTTCAAATAAACTATATCCCTTAGCATTCACACTCTTTTCTTAACTCACTTTGTTCTGGCTAGATAATTCAGCTCATGCATTTTACAGAATCAGCCAATTTTTCTGTGGCTCCAAGAGCAGAAAACCCACGCTTAATGCAGTAAGCAAAGGAAGGCGTTTGACTGTTCTCTCACAAATCTTGTGAGTATTGACTTTTTTTTTTTAAATCTATCTTAAGTAATACAAACCAAGAAGAATCTGGGAGGGAGCGAGTGCAGGAAGTTTTTTTTTAAAAAAAAGGCCTTGACTTAGAAGAGGTACTTAGTCAAGAAAACATAAGGCTAAGCGAAAGCAAAATCCCATTGTCTAATCCCAGCCCCTGATGACTCCCACTAAGACAGATTCTCCCTTCCCGAGTTCCAGATGAAAATGAAAATTAATGTCTATCTTAAAATGTCTCACACCTATTCCTGGTTGCTGGCTCTTTTCCCTAGGCTAGAACATCATTTTAAAATCTGAATGCTTGCCCCATTCACACTGGCCAGCCAAGCCATAACAGACATTGTGCTTGAGGCACATTTATTAAACAATTTAAAATATGATTCACAGACTGTTTCTATGACAGAGTAGACTGGGCTTTAGTTTCAACCCAAAAGGTGTTATTTTGGATAAAAATGCTTGAGTTATGAGAGGCAACTACATATTTTCCCTTTGTTCACATTTATATTAGTGCTGTCAAATGATTAAAAAAATAATCGCAATTAATCAAGAGATTAAAAAATAGCTCGATTAATCAGTTTTAAAATCACACTATTAAACAATAATAGAATACCAATTTAAATTTATTATAAATATTTTGGGATATCTTTCTACATTTCCAAATATATTGATTTCAATTACAATACAGAATACAAAGTGTACAGTGCTCACTTTATTTTATTATTTTTGATTACAAATGTTTACACTGTAAAAAAGATAAACAAAAGATACAGTATTTTTCCATTCAGTTAACAGTGCCATGCGAACACCTGTTCTCACTTCAGGTGACATTGTAAATAAAAAGCAGGCAGCATTATCTCCTGTAAATGTAAACAAACTTGTTTGTCTTAGCAAGGGGCTGAACAAGAAGTAGGACTGAGTGGATGTGTAGGCTCTAAAGCAGTGGTGGACAACCTGTGGCCTGTCAGGGTAATCCGCTGGCAGGCCGTGAGACAATTTGTTTACATTGACTGCCGCAGGCACCGCCATCCGCAGCTCACATTGGCCGGGAACGATGAACCGTGGCCACTGGGAGCTGCGGGCAGCCGTGCCTGCGGCAGTCAATGTAATCAAACTGTCTTGCGGCCTGCCAGCGGATTACCCTGATGGGCCACATGCTGCCTGCGGGCCGCAGAGTGCCCACCACTGCTCTAAAGTTTTACATTGTTTTGTTTTTGAGTGCCATTATTAATATATATACACACACACACACACACACACAATTCTACATATGTAAGTTGCACTTTCATGCTAAAGAGATTGCACTACAGTACTTGTATGAGGTGAACTGAAAAATACTATTTATTTTATCTTTTTTATAGTGCAAATATTTGTAAAAAAATAATAATATAAAGTGAGCACTGTACACTTGGTATTCTGTGTTGTAATTGAAATCAATACATTTGAAAATGTAGAAAATCATCCACATTTATAATAAATTTAAATTGGTATTTTATTATTGTTTAACAATGCGATTAAACTGCAATTAATCAAGACTTTTTTTTAATCTAGTTAATTTGTTTTGCGTTAATCGTTTGAGTTAACTGTGAATAACTGACAGCCCTAATTTGTATATTTCCCCTGTAAAACAAAAGTGGCTAAAGATTTAATTCTTCCATTTTCTATTAACCTAGTCCAACAACAGCTTCACAGGATAAGCATCATTTGAAAAGGTTTTTTTGCTAAGATTACTTTTATAAAGACATAACTGCATCCCTCCCTATAGGACATCAACAAATTAAATGTCTCTTTCTAAAGGTAAATCTTACCTTCAGTAAGAAATTCATTGTCACTGATATCGTAAATACCAAGTAAAAGTACATTATTTTTAGCATCCTTGAAATAAATGTGCCCTTTTTCATATTCATCTGCAAAAATAAATATTTAAAAATGTGAATTATTTGGAGTTCAGTGTAAACAACAAAAACTACACACCGAATCAGAAAACGATATCCCAATTACCTGAAGGCATTTAGAGAGCATTAAAGCTGCTACAAGGCTTAGTAATGGAGATACTAATAAAGCTGGATTTTCAAAGTGTAAGAGATATCCCAGGAACAGGGAGAACAGATAGATTTTGTACACTTCATGCACCTGTTGGGAAAAAAAATAAAAATAAAACAAACCTATAGTTCATACCTTGTTTACAAAACAGTGGAACAACTACAAGTGAAAGAAATTTGTGAATCCTTTCACTGCACAATCCTAAGAATTCAGTATTTTAAAAGTGGTTCCACTTCTGTCTATTGCAAAAATTGCTTGTATAGTGTAAAATGTAAACAGTGTTGCCCTGCTAACCTGACGCTGAAGAAGACAGACTCTAGCTAAACACCCATCCTCCCATCCAGAGATATCAGAAAGTACATTTCTACTCTGAAAGGTAGCTATGTAAAAGCAGTGTTGGTTGGGTTCCACAATTATCGCTCAGTGACTCCATAGCACATTTGTAAAAGTGCATGACTAAAAGGCTATGTTTTACGAGATACTTTTTTTCTTCCACTTCACTTGCATATCACCTTACCATGTCACACTACTTAGAATGATCACATGTAGGTACTGCAACTTGCTACCATTACTTACCTCTGGGTAAACAGAATCCAGCAATTCTGATACTTACAATTCTTTATGTATATGCAAATATACAGTGAAAGAATTTACAATGTGCATTTTAAAATACAGTGGTTTCTTCAATAGACCAGCAATATTGCCCCATCAGTTTGGGACTAAAGCATGTAAGAGTTGGTGTGCATAACTTGTTCCCCACTGTGGGAGAATGGAAAGGAAGCTAATTTGTTGATGTAAGTCACTCTGTATTTGGGGAGGGGGAGTTTGTTTACTTTTGCAGGTTTTTTTGAAATCTGGAAGGCACACACATACCATGCTGAGGGGTACAGTACAAGAACCTAAATAAAAGATTGAATATAAAAATGAATAATCATTTTTAGAGTAGCTCCAAACTTTAAATATTTCCCCCTACTGAACCTTCTGTTTACATAAGTTATCCAGCCATAAAGGCTGCTTAACCAACTATAGGGGAGAATCATGCAGTGCAAAGTGAGTTTCCAGTAGTATAGAGCCAGCAGACAAGCCCCTAGGCACCTCCCCTCCCTGCTGCCACACACAAAGGAAAACGGGACATGACCAGAGCAAAGCAGATGTGGCTGTACACTAATTCATGGCAACAGTCCAGGCCCCACTTTTTTTTTCTTTTTCTTTTTTTTGGGGGGGGGGGGGGGGGGGAGAAGTGTTACAGCCAGTGAGCCTTAGAGCAGCCCTCAGGCTCTCCTAAGCCTCAAATTGCTCTATGCCAGAAGACCAGGCCCCACCAACCCCTGATCCCCAGAAGACGAGATGTAAAGATGAGCTTAAAGCCACTTTATTCTCATGACTAGTGTTATGTGCACTTTAGCTGGACTCCAGGTTTGGCTCTAACTCACAAACAGAGATAATCTATGCCCTTTGGAGTTTGTGGAAACAAAACATTGCAGTTACTGTAGTTGTTTAATTCAAGTTTCCAACAAACAATCAATAGTTTGAAGAGTCATAATACCTTATCTGTCTGCACAAGGGCAAAGCTGTCCAGCAGGAAGAGAGACACAGCCTGGACAAACAGCAGATAATGACTGTACTCCCACATCATCATGAAAGTATATGTTGAAGCACTCACCAAAAGGTAGCAAAACCTCTAGGGAAACACAGAAGAACATTAACTTAATTATCATGTATTTCTGCCATAAGAAAAACTGAGAGATAATTAAAACAAAAATCAGTTCACTAGTAATGTAAATTGTTTCTTTAAAGAATTAAAATACTAAACTAAGAGTTCATAATTTTCTCAGAAGGGAGTTTCATTTTCTTTGCACTGGATGGTGGGGATGGGCATGGTAAGGGGTCTTAATATTATTGATAAGCAGCTAATTTTTAGTTAGCTGAATTCTTCTTTTCCCCAGTTTAGTCTTTATTCAGTGAGGACAGAAGAGGTCATATTTGAAGCAGTCAAAATCATATGAGACATGTCAGAAGAAATTACCAACCTAGACAAGGGACAGGAAGAGGTATCTACCACCATATTTCCGACTCCCTGAATAGTGAGGAAAGAACCAAATTCTCTATAACCTTATGCAGCCAAAAAAAAAAACCTCAGAAAACAACCCCCCACACAACTTTTGACAAATTTCAAAAGTGAGAGAGTTGGTGGCATTAGTATAAGGTTGATTCCCATACCGTTCCCCTCAACCACCATGGTAACATTAGAGGACAGGGGAACATTCACTTTGCAGTGAAACTAAAGTACCAGGTGTACTCCAGATGGCTGCTTTGCAAAAAGCAAAACAATTTTTTCTCTTCTTTTTCTGCCTAAAAAGACAATAAGGTGACAAAGGTGTAACTACTTTGGAGCACATTTCTACTAGTTGCATTTTGTTAAGAAAGTACTTGTGTTTTACCTCAGCAGAAGAATTTATGTTGTTTTTTAAATAGCCTGTAAGAGCTGCAACTTGACATGCAAAATATGGCAATGCCCAATTTTCCCTTAAAGGAATGGAGTAGTCGATTCTTGTTGTATCTGTCCTAAAACAAAGCGTAGAAGAACAAAACAGAACTATTAAGTTGTTTATGGAATAAAAATATTATGGGAAACCAGTTCTGGTTATCATAGATATCTTATTAGCAAACCATTCCTGTTACTGGTGTTTTAATACACTGCATTGTTTTCTAGAAACAAAAACCTATTTTACTATTGGTAAAAGTCACAAGTTTAATATAGTCAAAATGGAGGGACTTAAAATCTTTATTCAGCTATAAGTATTCTACCACTTTATGCATACGAATAGTCAATAGGACTACTCAGATGACTAAGGTTTGTAGGTCAGGGCCCATAAGGGCTGCCTTTCACATTAAGATGAAGTATGGTTTATGGCAGAGAGAATAGATTCTTTACAACTATTACGCAATATACTTTTTAGACAAGTACTTTCTCAACTGCTTAAAACATATCTGCATGATGTCTCGGGAGTCATGTAACATTACCAAACTGCACCTGTTGATCATCTGCCTACTTTTGAGACTTTTACTGACAAAATGGAGATTACTGATTGATGGAGCGCAAAGACCACAAAAACATTAGGATTTTCTTATAAATAGTGACTGAACAGCTTCCACACAACTTGAGTCACAGGGTAACATTTTCAAAAAATGCCTAAATAATATGAGTGCCTAAGTCCCACTTAGGAACCTACATCCCACTGACTTTCAGTGAAATTTATGCTTCTAAGTGCCTAAGTCACTTTTGAAAATTGGATTTAGGCTCCTAAATCATTTAGGCTCTTGAAAAAAATGTTACCCCCATCTAATTTTTGCTTCTCCAGATACCCTCACAGTGGTCCATTCAGAGCTCTGTATTCACTTTTGCTTTCAATTTCCAAAGTTGTTTAATTTTGCTTGCTCATGGAAAAAATACAGATTATTCACCATTACCATTTCCTTTTCTACTTCATGTACTTCAGCCAACCAGCTAATGAACAGCATTTTTATTTGCTGATCACAGCCTGAATAGTGATGACTTTATATCTTTCCTCAAAGAAAGTGCTCTTCAACATTTTCAACTTAAATTCAGCAGGACCCCGTTTATCTGATCTAATTAAAACCAGGTCCAGATTGGATAATCCAAAATTCGGATAATCCGGAGAATGGGAAAGTGTGTGGCTGGAGTGCCATCTAGTGGCCACAGAAGAGATTGCCCGTTTCTGGACCTGTGTGTGCTGGATGTTTGGTACGGAGAGACGGATAATGGAGAGTCAGAGGCCTGGTCTACACTACGACTTTAATTCGGATTTAGCTGCGTTAATCCGAATTAACCCTTCACCCGTCCACACTACAGAGCCAGTTAATTCGAATTAAAGGGCACTTAAAATCGATTTCTGTACTCCACCTCGACGAGCGGAGTAGCGCCTAAATCGATTTTGTTAATTCGAATTAGGGTTAGTGTGGCCGCACACCACCGAATTACTGTGGTTAAATTAATGGGGTAGTGTGGCCGCACACCACCGAATTAATGTGGTTAAAAACCGAATTAATGTACTTAGTGTGGCCGCGCACAATCGAATTTATACAACCTGTTTCCAAAATTCGAATTATCTAAATTCGGATTAATCCTGTAGTGTAGACATACCCAGATAAACAAGGTTCTACTGTACTCATTAGTACTTTGCACTTCCATAGGTCTTTCCTTCCAAGAATCTCAAAGTGCTTTACAGCCAATAATAAATCACAGATGCATAGTAAATCAGTGACAAAACTAGGAGTTAAACTCAATAGTTTATTCTCAGAATCAATTCACATCATTAAACTCTTCAACATACTTTTATAGGGGTTCATAACAGGGAGTTTTCAGGTAAGTGACACATTAAACAACAAATTTGGATAACAGGGTCTTCTAGATAAGAGAGATTCTACTTTGCTACAGAAAGCAGATTCAGAAAGCCAAGAGGCTTTGAAGACATGCAAAAGGCATGAAGTTCAAGGCAAGAGAATCACAACCAAAACAGTTAGAGCTGGCCAGAGCATGAGATTTCCATTTCATGGCAATTGTCAAGGTTTTGACATTTGTTTTCCTTCCACACTGGAACAAAAACAAAACCTTTTAAATGTTTTTGCCAAATGGAATTTTGTTGAAACATGTGCTCTCTCTCACTCTGTGACCAGGGAATCCATCTTGGACTTCAAAAACCTTCCCATCAAAAACTTTGAAATTGATATATCTCCATAAAACGTTTCAGCTTCAATGAAATAACATTTTAAAAAAATGTTTCAACAAAAATGTTCTGACCAGCTCTACCAATATTTTTAAAATGCCTTACTGACAAACTAGATTACATAAAAGGTGTTTTTCTTACCTGTTAATAATGAACCATGCTACGGTCAGCATTCCTGCCAACCAAGTCCCACTCATAACCCAACTGGTTACAAATAATGCAGCCATATAAATTCCCTGCAGTCCAAAAACTATACCAATGTAGAAATACACTGGCTCGATAACCTCCTGAAATTACAAATAAAAGTAAAGACACATAGTAGCAACTAAGCTGAAATTGTAAATTATGACTATATACTGCTAACAGGGTGCTAGATACTTTACAGACAGATAAAATATGCTCCCTATCATAAGAGCTTATGTTTTAAGTATACAACATAAAAATGCTCCGGGATAGAGTGTGTGTGTGTGTGTGTACAAAACAGAGTGAATTAACATCAGAGTTTAGCACACATCTTTGTGCTATGATCTGGGGTTTGTATTAATAGTGAGGATTACCCATTGATCAGGTTTGATAACACCTTACTGCAGTGAGATTTTAAGTATATAGGCCTCTTGAAGGGAGAGAGTTTAAAGGAGGAACTTTGGAAAGAGACAAAGGACTTTTCTAAGTGTAAATATTTTGCCACTTTACCTATACTGATTAACCTCTCCCCATGCCCCCCCCAAAAAGCATAGAGGGAGGCCAGGTCTACACTACAAAGTTTTGTCAACATAGCTATTTTGGTCAGGGATGTGAAAAAACCCACAGCCCCTAGCCAACATAGCTATGCCAGCAAAACCCCAATGCAGATGCAGCAATGTTGAAAGAAGAGAACTTCTGTCCACGAAATATTCGGGGAGGTGTGATGTTACTATGCCAACAGAAAAACACCTTCTGCAGGCATAAGCTGTGTCTACACTAGGGGGCTTGTCTGGTATAGCTATACTGGCAAAGCATTTGTACTGTTGACCAGGCCGCAGTTATATCAGTATAAAAGTGCTTATACCAGTATACTTTGTTCCAGTTTGGGAACCAAAATAAGCTATATTGGTATAAGGCACTTCTAAACCGTATAACTGCATCTACATTAGATGTGTTACTGAATGGAAAAAAAAAAACACCCTCCAACCAACAGTTATGATGATAAAACTTTCAAGTGTAGACCTGCTCAAAACAGAAGCTGGCTAGACTGTGCAGGGCCTTCTAGCTTTTATTGCAGAAACAATTTAAATCAGTATGGTAGATTTAGATTTCAAAGTCCTTTCCAAAACATTATTTAATCCTCCCTTTGTGAAGTAAGCCTGACTTACTAAATTGTGATTTGCCCAAGGTCACGTGGGATATGTCTACAATAAACTTCTGCAGACATACAAATTGACTATCAATTAACTCAAGGGGTTAACATATGTAAAGGCTGGCGTAGACATTCCCCACACTTTTGAAACAGGCTACAAATGTAAAGAACAAACAGCACTAAGTAAAGAAGTCTAGCATAGACAAGCCCAGAGAGCCTGTCAGAGACTGGATTAGAGCTCAGGAGACCCTGGATCCCAGTGTTATGCTCAGACCACATCCTTTCAACACACATAGCAAACAAAACTTCATACCCCTATCATACTGTAAAAATAAAAGCAAAGCCGAAGAGGTACACATACTTCGCTACCAGATGCTTGATATAAAACACTGGCAATCAACTCTGGATACAATGTCATTTGCTGCACTGCATTTATAGTCCTCAGCGATACAGTTTTATTGTTGTGTGTCAGCTCATAAACACCTGAAGGCAGAAAAGATTTTTTCTAAAATCAGTTATCCTGCTTGTAGGAACAACAACAGTAATAGTAGTGTAAAAGCAGGATGTCAGTAGATCAGACTATTACGACTACTGACTGATACACCCACACATAATTTAAAAAGAAGAAGAAAGGACTGTGCTAGATGCAACCTCACCCTGATTATTTTGAGGAAGTCAGCATTAAGTTATTTCCATTTATAAACATTAGTTGAGCTAGCCTTTAAATTTAGAGTCCAAGTTCATTGCCTAAAGCTTAGTCTATTCAGTTCCTAATATACAGCATGATTTTTAAAACTGTTCACTTGATGCAATTTATCCCTTCCCAAACAATGGAATTTGGTGTATACTTTCTTAATCACATTTTGAGGTTAACATGAAAATCAGAAAGGGAAAAGCCACTGAGAAATTAAAGATCATCCACATCTTTAAAAAAGCGGTATGTATATTTATAAATAAACAAACATGCATGCATAAATTCCAGAAGACAGGGCAGCAACTTCACAAATGGAAATCAGAATTTATATACATACAGTTCAGTGTCAGAATAAGATTCATTTCAATTAACACCATTAGCGAACTAAGGTGGCTCAAAGGAATCCATAGAGTAGATGAGAGTTTATTATTTTTTTGCAAAGATCTGAAAGTGTTCGGTCAGCATGATTCTGACCCTTATACCTATATAGGAGTCTAAAACCAACTTTCTTAATCTACAAGAGTGTTTGACTGTCTCAAAGGGGAAAAAGGACTTTTCAAAGTTAATAAATAACTTTATTATTAATAATAATAATCTAAAAGATTGTTTAAAGTTACAGAACGAAGAACATGCTCAAAAACTATGCTCCTCCGACAACACCACTACTGAAACAAGACTCTTCACTGCACATGCATCTCCCTTTGGGAAGAGGATGAGAAAACAAACAACACATGATACATGTGTTGTCATGTTGCTTAATGTACTACTGGAAGGAACTCAGATATTCTGGTGATAAGCACAGTATAAAAACCTATATAGAAGTGACTAGAATAAATGTTTGTCATACCTCTTTCAAAGGAAGGAGCCTTTAGCAGTTCTTTATAAAATGAGTAATAAATGGCACTGTCACCCTGAAATGTAATCTCTCGTTCAAGTTCCTAGAAGAAAATAAAATAATTAAATATATATTTGCCTCCTATAATTTCTTCTTCTAAAAGCCCACATATTTTCAGATAGGCTAGTTTTGTAATATAGCATATGGTTATGAATCCATATCTTCAAAATATTAATCTTCACTGCACCCCGGTCATATATGTATTGTTACCTATAATGTACAAATCCTGAAACTGACACTGAGAATCAAAGCGACTTGCCCAAAACCACATGGTAAATCAGTCAAACTAAGCTCGGCCAGGCTCTGTCCTCCCACCACTACAGCTGCCCTAGCAGCTCTCAGGCATTCCCAGTACCGCGCCCACTGTTGCTGCTTTGGTGACATGGTCCTGGTTTTAGAATGTTCATATTCACATATTATTTTGAAATGCTGCCAAAAATTTTATGAGCAATGCGTCTGAGGAAGTGGGTATTCACCCACGAAAGCTTATGCTCCAATACATCTGTTAGTCTTAAAGGTGCCATAGGACTCTGTTGCTTTTTACAGATCCAGACTAACACGGCTACCCCTCTGATACTTGACAAGAGAAATGGTGATTTTCAGTTTGTATCTCAGCAAAACCTGAACAGAATGTCACAGGATAAAGAAAAGGCACTTCTCTAACCCAGGGGCTTTCCTCATGCAAAATTTTAGAGACTTGCTCCGAACAACATAGTCGTTAAAGTATCTTAAAAAGAGGTCACAAGAATCTTAGAATAGAAAGCCCTAAGCAACCTAAATATAGAAGGTGCTACCAGCTGTCCATACAATGCTTTGCAGGGACAGCTTAAAAATCAACATGATGGTTTCCAAATATTTGTAGGTCTAGTACAGGGGTTCTCAAACTGGGGGTCAGGACCCCTCAGGGGGTCACGAGGTTATTACATGGGAGAGTCGCGAGCTGTCAACTTCCACCCCAAATCCTACTTTGCCTCCAGCATTTATAATGGTGTTAAATATATAAAAAAGTGTTTTTAATTTATAAAGGGGGTCGCACTCAGAGGCTTGCTATGTGAAAGGGGTCACCAGTAAAAAAGTTTGAGAGCCACTGGTCTAGTACATCTAGAACAGATCTTATATAATACAGCATCTTTTGCCAACATAACACAGGTAAAACACATCATATGGGTGTAACACACCTCTTAAAACTTCTAGGTTATTTTGCCTATAAAGAGTGTTTTCTCAACAAGACAAGAAGTATAAAACCTAGTTAGTGTACTGATGTTGTCAAAACAAGAACATCAGATGGAAACCAGCAAAGCTTGCTTAGATGATTACATACTAAAATATATACATAAGGTATAACAGCTCTCTCATTAGTATAGTGCAGGGATCGGCAACGTTTGGCACGCGGCTCGCCAGGGTAAGCACCCTGGCGGGCCGAGCCAGTTTTATTTACCTGCTGACGC